TTAACCTGGCCCCAGATGTGCAGTGTGGTAATGAGATTAAACACAAATTAATTCAGGAATATGTGACAAAACTGAAATATTAAACATTATAAGACTTTGAAGACTGTCAAATCATGTTTTTCTCAATGACAAAGTTGTGTCTGCTTTCTTTCTCTATGATCTACCCTCTGGTTTGTGGATCGAGACAGATGTTTATTTTGATGAATATATAACATTATATTATGGATTTGGAAATGTAGAAGGGAGCAACTGACCATAGAGAGCCATCAGAGTCTATAAAAGCACACACCTGTGGATCATGTGATGAGCGAGCCTGAAGATGACACAATGCAAACTGCGTTACTTTTAGATTTGTAATCATGTGACTCATTTAGTCGATGTTTCATGTCTGAGAGAAAAGCTTGAGCTGGAGTTTTCAGGGGCTTTAAAATTTTAATTTGACCTGAGGCTTCTTTTCAGTACAATGTCTCAAGAACAGGTGATAAATCAGGACCCACTCTACTAAACACATTTTCAGTTGAATTAGAACAAACCAGTTTGCACACAGCAAACCTGGAGCTTTTTGGCCTCCGTGCTACATCAGTAATTAAATCTCACAAATGACTGGCGATGGACGGATCAATACTCAAAGTACTGATACTATCAATACTAGGTCTTGCTTTGAGTATTGATGCTAATGTAGAGGATTAATACAAAAATCTATTGTTTGATTTGTTTTTATATTTTTACTATTTAAAGCTCCCCTCCAGACATTTAAAGAAAACAGGATAATTGTTATATATACTAATAATTGTTCATTACCTCATTAATGTTCATTTTTAAAAACATTTATTTTTTATTCCGGACTCTATAAATATGTAGAAATTTTTAATCTTAAACAGTTTAACATATGGACACCAGATGCCTCTTACATCACTCTGATTGGCTTCTTACTAGTTGTGATGTCATAAATCAATGCAGGTACATCCAGGTGTTAAACTGAGACTTAAGGTGAGCTCAGACAAACTTTGTTCCTCCAGCAGATGAAAGTGAAAACAAATTTTGATGCACCAATTTTTAAATTTTAAGTTAAGCAAAAAGTAATTTTGGTGCAATTTCGAGTCAACTTTCCACTCACAATTGTTAGAGCTGATACCACATTTATAGGGAAAAAAATGAGTTTAAATTTCTAAACAAATGCAAAATAGAAGTATTGATCATCTTGATTAGAGGCCTCATATTTCATACTTAAATATCAAACATATTCAAATAGTTAAAGCCTGAATTGTTTTCATTTTATAATATATTTTATTATTTATTATTATTACTATTATTTATTTTTATGTATTTTGATTTTGTTTAATTCATTGGACAAAAAACTGTAGTGAGACCGCCACCCCCCCCGTCTAGTGCGTATGACGTCAGCACCTTACGTCACTTCCACGCAGGCCTCGCTTCCAAGCTCCGCGCCCCGAGCTGTCATCGTTTCACCGGGAGAGGCGAAGGGCATCCGGGATACCGGCCGAGAGGGGACCCGTTGACACGCTTTTCTCGAGGTTAGTAACCGGGATTTGAGGTTTTTTCCACGGGGAGATGGTCTGCTCTGCTCTATGACACGGAGACACATTCTGGTTTCAGTTTGAAGATGAATTAAAAAAACAACCGTCAGGAGGGATTTGAGAAAGACGAAACCTGTTAGCATGTTAGCCGCGTGCTAGCTAACACAGCCCATCAAACTAACGGAACCGTTAGGGCCTGATCGTCGGTCCAAACATCTGCAAAAACTGTTGGTGCTTGGGGAAAACTAAGACTCACTCAACTGAAGAAAAACGCTGATTTTTAACCATCAAGTTAGCTTCTTTAAGAGAACTCAGTTAGCACCTGTTTAGCCGCTAGCCCAACGTGCTAATTGTAATAATAGAGAAAGTAGAGGCATTTCGGTCAAACTAGCCGGCTAATTACACAACCCAGCACCTTAACGCCGTAGCTAACCATGCAGGGTAACAACCAGCGCTCTTTTGAAACGCTTAAACGTTCAGTGGGAATAATTTTACAATGTTTTGAAGAAGCAGGCAGTCATTTTCGGGAACTCATGACTTGTGAAAGGACAAAGTGACGGACAGTTTGCGTGTCTAATAAAAACCCGCAGAGTCCAATTTCTGGGCGGGATTCTTCTCGGGCAGCGAATCCGGAGGAGCGGTAGGCAGGTGGAGGGCGGGCCCGGGCCGGGGTGAGGGACGGGAGAATGGAGGCAGGGAGTGGAGACTCAACAAGGTCAAAACACAAACCACAGCTGAGGCGACACATGAGGACTCAGCGGATGTTTCTGAGCCTCGTCGCGCTGGAAATAACCTGAGTTAGAGTTTTGGTGTTGGGATTAACGTCTTCTGAGGGCTCCTCCTGAACTTTAACTGCTTCTGTTCGCCATGAACACGCCGCTGGTCGCAGGGACAGAGAGCAGGAGTTCAGCAGTTGTGGGAGTTCACTTTGAACGCAGCAACATTTGGCAGATTTCTCATACTAAAGGCACAAACCGGTGACCTCACTGTGACCTCACTGTGACCTCAAGTGATGAACAGGTGTCTCAGCAGATGTAACCACTCAAGGGCTGCAGCTAACCAAACTTATTTACATTAAACATCCATCTCCTGATCATGTTTTTTAATTAATCCATTGGTCTATAAAATGACAGACAGTAGTAAAAACACTCAGTGCAGCTCTGAACTACTGGTGTGGTGTTCACTGCTTCCTTTACCTGAACTGGAGGTCACCACCTGACATTAGGGCTGCAACTAATGATGATTTTCATTGATTTGAATGATACAGTACTGCGCTTTAGATGCTAAATATCTGCACAGTATCATCAGGAGGCATCTGATCGATCCAGATTCATTCTGCAGCAGGAAAGTGAGTCAATCAGCCAGAGTCATAATCTTCTCTTTGTCTCATCGCTGCACATTCATGAAAACAACACATTTTTCCTTAATTGGGCAGGTTGAGATAGTTTAGGCTCCTTTTTTTAATAATAATAACGTGTGAGGTGGAAGGAACAGGTGTAAACAGGTGATCTGAAAACAACAGGAAGTCAGTTATTGTAGTGTGGCTGATGGATCAACAGCTACAGCAGCAGTGGGAGTCGAGGTTTGCGGCTTTAAACCTTTTTGGTCTCAATAGCTGCAATTTGTGTCAATATCATTGACATGTCGTCGATACCAAATTCAATACCACTGCAAAGGGAAAAAACACTGTGCGAACACACAGTAACACACTCCTGCAAACAATAGGTGTGGAAGCAGTGGTTCCAGTTGACCAACAATGAACATGTTGATGATATGAAGTGACTCACTCAGACTCACTCAGCCTGAACTCTGTGTGCAGATCCAGGTGTGTGTCTTTGAGCTGCGAAGACAAGTCTGAGTTGTTTTCATTTTTCATACTGACTTTGGGTTTTCTGTAATTTGTCCCTGATGATCCTCAAACTCAAAATATCTCCTCACACGATTCTAACAGCACCTGCTGCTGCACCTGCTGCTGCACCTGCTGCTGCACCTGCTGCTAAACCTGCTGCTGCACCTGCTGCTAAACCTGCTGCAGCCATTCCACTTGTTGGTACAGTATTGTTACAGTGTCTGCTTTCCTCCTTCTCCTTCTTCTTCTTCTTCTTCTCCTTCTCCTTCTTCTTCTTCTTCTTCTTCCTCCTCCTCCCGATGTTTGACGTCAGACCAGAACATTTGTGGGGTTGTTATGCTGCCATCTTCAGTCCTAGAAGAATCACATGTTGTAGCTGTGGTACAGTAGAAGAGCAGATCATGTAGAGCTGGGTGATTAATCAGATTTTTTGTTGTCTTCCGACGATTATAAAAACAAGATAATCAAGATAATGAATATTGTGCTGCAATCTGTTTCGCAACAAATTTGATCCTCATCCACTTAGTTTCTGCGTACATTAGCAACGTACGTCAGTTTGCTGATTCAGAAACTTTCTGTTTTGAAATCTTTTTCTTTTCTTTTTCTTTCTTTTTTCTTTTTTTTTTTTAAGTTCAATAGATGAGTCGTGTTTCCAAAGTAAACGAGTAATCGTGTTAAATATAAATAATCCTGATCTCATTATTGATCAAAGTAATTGTGATTCTGATTTTTGTCATACTGGAGCAGCGTCACCTCTCCAGGTGTTTGTGTCTCTTACTGAAGGTTCAGTTCTAGTGACGTCCATTGTTGTAACTCAGTCGAACCTGAACACACACATGAAACACTCAGCTTCAGTGTGAATCACATTTTCCATGTCGTGGTTCCCTCTGATGATCAGCTTCAGTGACCATGAAAACTTTGTTACGATGATCTGCCTTCTTGTCTCTCTCCCTCTGTAACACAGTCTCTCTCTCTCTCCCTCTCTCAGTGGACAGATACACCAGTGGACGGTGGGCGTTCCCTTCATCCCTCTCTGTCCTGGGTCTGACCTCCGTGGACTTTTACTTCCTGTTTTCGTTCTGAGGTTGAGGACGTCCGTCCCGTCGGGACTGACCACCACCACCGTGTGTGTGTGATAACTGTAAGGACTGCTTATGCATCGTTTAAGGACTTGTGCGGCGCGGTTGCGTCCGCTCACCGCCTCGCAGGCGGCTCAGACTGTCGGCCAGCAGCGGCCAATCACAGTCGCCTCCACAGGCGGCACAAGGACGTTTCAGCCAATCAGGTGCTACTCGGCACCGGTGGCCTCGGAGCCGTTCCTGAACGGGACGAGCTCCAACTACGTGGAGGAGATGTACTATGCCTGGCTGGAGAACCCCAAGAGTGTTCACAAGGTAAGGAGCAGTGGAGCCCCCTGCTGGGCGGAGGAGAACAGGAACATCACATCCATCATGGAGGGTTCATGGGTCATAAAGGCAACTGGAAAATAATGCTGCAGTATTTCTGTGAGGATGGGAACGATACACACGCACTGTACATGTGTGAATATATCCGTCTACACACACACACACACACACACACACACATTGACTCTCTGAGTAATCATGAAAAAAACTCAATTTCCTTTTTGAATAGAGAAGGAGAAGAGAAATACATGAAGGTGACAGAGTGGGGAGAGGTAGCGCCCCCTGAAGGGCTGGGTGAAGGTGGGGGTGTATCTGTGACCTGTCTTCAGAGACACAAACTCATTTTAACGGAGTCGTAAAGGACGACCGGGCTAATAATAGCTGGCAGAAGCTCAGTCACATGACAGTTTTACTGTGTGAAGGGAGAGTGAAGGAGGCCCAACAGTACATTTTAAAAACACTCCCTCACCTTTAACCAGGTGGGTTTGTTAGTTTTAGTGATCAGTTTCTACAGGATTATCAGTTAGGAATAAGTTTAAACTGTGTGTGTGTGAGCTCAGCGCAGAAGAAAACCTCAGGTTACACTCACCTAACCTGCAGCTAACAACAGGAACCAGGACGTGGTTTACCCATGATACTGCTTCGTTAACTGATAAACAAACCCAGTGTCGGGTTAGTTAGAGGTAAAGATCTATTACCTTTCTCCTGTTTTTAACGAATGGAACATGGAAAACAAGAGAGATTAGAAAATATAAAACAATAAAAGACAATATTTTTGATACAGAACAATTATAAACCACATGAGAGGTTTTAAACTACACCAGCAGAGAAGAAGAAAACGGCTTCTTCTTCTTCCTCTTTTAGCTGCTGCCACAGCCGACCATCCTGCTGCATCACACATTTAACTCGGCCTCCCTGACGCAGCCCTCCCATGTGACCGGGCTCAGACCCGACACTGTCAATATTACACTGGCTTGTAAAGAAATATAGATTACAGTTTTAGTAAAGAAATGAAAAGAAAAATAAGAGGGGAGTTGTTGATAACCCTCGTTAATAAACATTAATCTGTGTGTGTGTGTGTGTGTGTGTGTGTGTGTGTGTGTGTGAGAGAGAGAGAGAGGTTTTATGTTACATGTCACAGTTGTTATGTAACGATCAGACAGTGTGACCTTGCTGTTCGTAGCTTAGCAAACTAGCTGGAAACTGCAGAGCAGGACACTTACACAACACACACTCACACACTGAACATCTTAGTGATAATATTGTTTAATAAACATAAGAATATGCTGATATGAATTGTAGTGTCCAGTGTAAAGTTAATATTAGTGATTGTCCCTGAACATCTCTGTTGACAGGAGAGTTAACGTGTGTTTGGATTAGTGGCGACAGAACAGGTAACACTGCAGTGTTGTTTCCATGGAAACATGAGGGCTGACGTGCTTGAACTTTTGTTCAACTTTCCCAGGATTCAGTTCATTTAGCCTCCAGTTCCTGGTTGGAATCGTTAAGCTCTGACGCTAACGAGTCTCTTATGAGACCTTTAATATCTCCTGGTTTTTTTCATTAGCACTGACTGATGTAGAAAAACAGGCGGGTAACAAAGTGAGAGACGTCAGGAGCAGTCGATTATTATCAGCTGTAGCTCATTAATGTTAATTAATGTGAGGCTTCAGTTAATGAGCTGCTGACATGACCAAAGAGTGAAGTGTGTGAAGACACATCACTCTGTAACTTCTCTCTACGGCAACATCTGCATGACTACGATCTTCGTCCAGACGAACGCCTGAAAACATGTCACATGACCCTTCACTACACTGAGCATGTGCGAGCCGGTGAAACAGGAAGTAGATTGTCTCCTCAGCAGAGACAGTTGTAGCATTAAAACAGCGACTGTAAGTGAACAGCAGCTGCAAAGACAACAAGGTCAGTAACAGTCATTCATCATCATGTTGTATCACCACTGGTAGTCCAGGCTGATGACAGCCAATCAGGAGAGACCGTGGGTGTGACCTCATCGTTTACAAAGGTCTCACTTTCTGTCCAGACTACAAATACCCAGAATTTTCAAAATAAAACACAACCCCACTGTTTTCAAAATAAGACAGGTCCAGCAGAGTTTCTGAAAGTCTCTGGTGCTCTAAAATGAAGCCCGAGACCGTCAGTGAGCTGTGTGTCTGTGGTTCAGCAGAGGGGAGATATATCAGTCTCACTCACCCTGTAAAAGTTCCACTCGGCCGACATGATGTTTTGTCTTGGCGGCCGGTCAGTGGGAGGCGGGACTACACTACACAGCGCTTCTCTCAGACGCAGACACCAGAGTATTAACCACAGCAGTTTGAAGGTGATCGGTGACTGGGAGCATTAATTCCCATCTACCCATCACATATCTTTAATGAAAGACTTCCGGTCAGTCGGGGTGTAGCTGCTGGTCCAGATGTGGTCTCAGTCCTCTAGTGAAGACTGAGGCAAATGTGCTGAAGAGCTGAAACATTAGGAGGCTGCAGAGAGAGAGAGAGAGAGAGAGACATCTGGGCTGTGTTTCAGAATCTCTTTGATTGTGGCAACAAGATGTTTATGGACAGAGTGAGTGACTCATGAGTGAAGAATGAGCTGAATGACGTGACGCTGAAGCAGAAGAGTTCACTGCTCTGTGTTACTACAGCTTGAACACTGGTGGAGCAGGTGACTGAGCTGCTCTCAGCTGGAGAACACTTCCTGTCCTGTTACCTGTTCACCTCTGAGCAGACTCAGACTGAGGCTGTGGCCCCAGCTCTTTGTCTCCTTCCAGTCTGAGTCCGACACACTGCAGTGAACTGTCAGGAAGTCAAGTTCTCCCGGTGGTCGACAGGCCCGGTGCTAGTGACGTCACAGAGGCGACGTCCATCTTTATTTACAGTCTGTAGTGTAATACCAGGCCAGTGTACATAATGTTTATATGCATTAATGACCGCACAATTATTGATTCCTCCTCCTCCTCGCCCCTCCTCCTCCTCCCCCTCCTCCTCCTCCTCTCCCTCCTCCAGTCGTGGGATGTGTTTTTCCGGAACGCCAACGCTGGTGCTCCTCCCGGCGCCGCCTACCAGTCTCCTCTAGGTCTGTCTGCGGCGTCGGGCCTCGTCGCTCCTCAGCTCTCCTCTCTGGTTGGAGCTCAGCCCAACGTGGAGAAGCTGGTGGAGGATCACCTGGCCGTCCAGTCCCTCATCAGGGCCTACCAGGTACACACACACACACACACACACACACACAGTGATGCCACCTTCCTCCAGCAGGAGTCACTTCAGAGGTTTCCCAGACATTGATTTATTTTAGGTGCCTATGATATCAACACTGACCACAACATATAATTTATTCATAAATATACGTGTATATATATATTTCTTAAATTTATATTAAAATTGTGTATAATTTAATATTCATTTAAGAAATGTAATGAAGTTAATTCTAGGTGAAACACAAAGTTGAACTCAAGATTCAGAGTTCGTTGATGTTTGAAAACAGAATCATGAAACTGACAAATATTTAATTTAGTTCAGTTTGATTTTATCCATAAATTGTAGATGATCCATAGATGCATGTTGTGATCTTTAACTTGTCTCTTCCTCCAGACCGTCCTGTAACATGGAGCTCAGTAGAGACACTGTCTAATTACTGAAACGCTTTATGCTGTCTATGATATTTTACTGCTATTTGTTAATTATGATAATTAACTGTAACTATTTCTGTTGTTATAATGATTCTCATTTTCTTATTCATTTCTTCTATTGATATAAAACGTAAACACAGTTCTAGTGTGTATAAAGTCTTGATATGTTTGATGTAGAATGATGTAGTTTAGAGTTTCTCAACCTTCACATGGAGTCATGTGACCAGCAGATACTAGATGAATATATGACGGATGTTTGTGTAATAGTTAAAAAAGAAAATCTGTGTTATTATTAAAGATTTCTGTTTATAATCGAACATGAATTTACTGAACTGTTCCATCCACAAATTCACATGAACTCTAGACACGTTAATGATTTGTTGTATACTCATGAAAAGGTTGAGAAACCCTGAGAGATGATGTGGCGAGGAGAGGTCTTCACAGGTCACACACATCTGAACCAAAGAACAGATGTTTTTATCTCTCTGTCAAAGCTCGTGTAGAAAACACAACGCCGCGTTCATCCCTTTAAATGACCAACGTCTCTGGAGGCAGGAGCTGATGTCAGCTGTGAAATGATGATGACGGCTGAAGGAGGCGATAAAACAAACTTAGTTCATCATATTTTTATCAAGTTAATTCCAAAAATAAATAAATAAATCACAGCAGCTCGTCTGAAGAACACACGCTTTGTGTCTGTGGCTGCAAATAACAATAAAGTCATTTTCCAGCTGGTGTCATGAATTAACTTCATGCTACAGATGCATGATGGGAGTAACAGTGACTGATACGTAGATTGGTTATGGCCGTAGCAATATGATAACTGATGTTATTTTTATTATTACAAATTTAAATTTAAAGAAGAAAACATTCTTAATTTAAAGGTTGATTTTTCTAATACACTGTCATGACAGCGAAGCAGTGCGTCTCAGTCTTTTCACATCAGCGACACGAAGTAGGTCACAGAGCTGATGAGACTGTTTTCTTTTAGATGTTTTATTAGAGAAACTTCTTGAAACTTTGATTTATTTATTTGGATCCCCATCAGCCTCCACCATGGTAGAAACTACTGTAATGTAAATGAAAATCAAAGGCAGGAAAAGGAGCAAGAAAATAACAACAAATACCAACAGTTAAACTACTAATAACAGTAACAGTGACAGGTACCCACGCTTCATCTGAACTCTCAGTAAAACATAGATACAGATCAATAAACAGTGCTAACAGTAAGACACTGTACACAGTCACCAAGAAGTTCTTCATGAATTAGATTAATTAAAACTTGAAATATAGTGCAGATAGTTTACTCCCCTCGTTGCTTGGGACCTGCAGAAACCATTCATTAGAATAACTGGACACACTGAAGCTCCTGAACCGTGAAACTGTGTCACAGTCCTTCATTGGAACAATGAGAACAATTGAATCTTCTGACTCATCGGCCAATAACATCGTTACTGTCCCTTTAAGGCAGCAGCTGAACTCTGTCAGGTGTTATGAGTGGACCTGTGAAGCCCTCCAGGTGTCAGTGCTCTCTTGTGATAACCAGGTGTGTGTGTGTGTGTGGTGTGTGTGTGTGGTGTGTTTAGGTGATGGGGCATCATAATGCCCTGCTGGACCCTCTGGGAATCAGCTGTGTGAATTTTGATGATGCTCCGGTCAATACCGGCTTCCAGGACGTCGGTGAGAGCGCCACAACAAAAACAAACAAGCAAAGCCTGTGGTGTTAATGCTGCTCCTCCCTCCCACCCTCCCTCTCTTCTCTTCTTCTCTCCTTCCTCTTTATGTCAAATCTCTTCCTTTCTTTCTTCTTCTTCTCCTTTTCTGCTCTCACCTTGCTCCTGTCCGACGCTCTGTCCTCTCTTCCTGTTTTTGTGTCTCGACGTTGATCTTCCTGTTCTTTCTCTTTTCCTCTATCTCTCCTTTCTTTTTCTCTCAACCCTCCACTCCGACTTGCTTCTCATCCACTCACCCCTCCACATCCTCCCGCCTCTCTCTCTCTTCCCCTTATTTCGTTGCATCCTGTTTTCTCCTCATCCCTCCTCCTCCTCCTCCTCTTCTTCACCCTCTCCTTCATTTCGTTCAATCCTCCACCTCCTCCTCCTCCTCCTCCTGTCCCGGGTGGGCTCTGTGCTGTTGTCACTCCTTGTAGATCCGAGGGCACCATGTGGCCCAGTTGGACCCCCTCGGCATCATGGACGCCGATCTGGACTCGTGTGTCCCCACTGACATTATCACCTCCTCCGACAAGCTGGGTGAGGAGATAACCCCTGTAGAAACCCCCGTCTCTTTATTTCCCCCGGTCTGCCTCGCAGTCCGGCTGCTTCTGGAACTCACCGCTGGTCGGGGGCGTTTGTTGCTGAATGTCTCTGAAACTTTGTCTTGAGCTGAAACCTCGTTGTCCACAGGAAGCTTTGTGAAACTTCCCGTGGACACTGAATGTTTCTGGAAGTTTGTCTTGAACTGAAGCCTCTGCGAAAACTTCTCCAACATTCTCATATACGTGAATATTTCAGAAACTTTCTGGCTCATAATCAAGTCAGTTATCTGAAGGTCTGGACCTTCTCTTTCATATTATTAACAGACACACAACTGTTTGCCACAGTGGCGAGGAACTACTTTCTTTTAAGAGGCAGAGACAGACTCAGGGTGGGCGGGGCCATCTGCCTCGACCGGGTGGGTTAGGAGAGAGAGAGCAGAATGATGAAAATAATGAGAGTTAATTACTAGTAATTATTATTTCTAATAAATGTAGCAGCAGGTGTGAAACAGGTGGAAGGGGGGGGTTAGAGAAGGAAGGAAGGGAGAGAGAGAGGCACTCAGCCTGGGCGTTCATGTGTCTGAGGGAAAAAAAAGTCTGGATTGTTCTTGTATATGACGAATGTTTCTGAAACTTTCTGTAATGGAAACTAACCCTGACATCGTCCTCAGCTACTGGGAATAATCGTGATGTTTTCATCACCTACAACAGTTGATTAGTCCGTCTGGAAACGTCTAAATCCTTTAATCTCAACTTTAAAATTAACTTCAAATGTTTCCGAAACTTTCCTGAAAACTGGAAGATTGAAACAGACCCCTCCCACGAAACATCCTCTGAGTGTCGCTTCAGGCGCTGCAGCTTCTTCATCTGAATTGGATTGAAAAGAGCGAGTAGGAGGAGATTCTGCTGTGATTCTGTATTTTATTTTCATTGTCAGAAAACCTGGTGCAGACCAAACCAACAGCACTTCAGACTTCCCTCCTCCGTCTGTGGCTCTCAGCTCATTGGTTCTTTATGAACAAGATCATTTTTAAAAACACTTCACAAATATATCGTTTCATTAAAAAGTACAAACAGCTGCTCACTCTAGTTCTTATCAATCACAGGAGGAAGTAGAGCGTTTATTGGGGACTATTTTCAGCAGCGGATTAATCCACATTTGGTGCTGTAGTGAGTGTTTGGCGCAGCAGGAGGGTGTCGATATAAACTACAGTGTGTGTGTTGGTTTGCGTCTGTACATGAGATTTATTGACAAGAAGAAAAGAACCAAACAGCTTCACCAGACTTGAATCTTTTCTGAGGACTGACCGTAAAAAACTTTTAGACTTTATCAAGAAAAAATAAGACGTGTAGAGTTTGTGAAACGGTTTTAGAGACGACTTCAGTGTCAGTGCAGAGACACAGGTCAGGGGTCAAACACTAACACCAGCATTATATTACTGTTACCAGTTGTTTTATTGCTTGGTGGAAAAGCAAACCATCACTGCTGAGCTGCTAGCTCTGTGCTAGCTCTGTGCTAACCCTGTTGATGCTCTGGACTCAGCAGCTGTCGGTTGTTGGGGAAACCTGCTGCTGAAGTCGTCGGACGTGTTTCAGCCGCAGCCTCAGTAGTTTGTTGTGTGAGAAAACTCCGGCTGTGTTTGTTTCTGTCGGCTGCTCGCTGTAGAGACGATCGTGGACCAGAAAACTCTGTCACCACTGTTTTGAAACGGAAAGACAAGATAAGGTCCCCAAAATAAAACCTCTCCTGTTCTTCAACCGTTGCAATCACAGTCATCACCCTGAGCTCCTCTGACAGGAAACTCTTTATATTTTACATCCAAACCGTCAGAGTGAGCAGGAGAGACACTGATCCACTGTTATAGATACGATATGAATGACATTAAAGGGAATCTCAGGCCTGAAGCAACTGTGTGTCAGCAGCTGCTGCAGTGATGAGGAGCCTCAAAGGCTTTGCACAGAGAGAATCAGCTGTAATTTGTCAGGGGGTCACAAGCCAGAAGAGCTTTAATAACCACTGTCCCGTGACAGAGAGGCTATGTTCAAATAATCCTCCATGTTTTTAAATGTGTTTCCAGTCAGTCTAAAGTCAGTTTCCTCAGTCAGTCGAACAGTAAATGTCGTCCTGGTGGCTCAGCTGGTAGAGCAAAAAACTTTTATATATATTTTAATTTAATTTGAATCTCTCTCTGGATTCAAGCCAGACTGAATCAACTGTTATCATGTCAACAGTCAACATCTGTTAATTCCCAGTTGTTGATTCTCTGGACAGGAAGTGCTGTTTTGTTGTTGTTGTGTTATCAGACTGGATGATGTAAATATATGAGGACCTGGTCTGTCTCTACGTCTCTTACTTCCAGCTCTGTTCGTTCTCATCACCGCTAACAGCCTCCAGCTTCAGCTGCAGCCAGTTTTATGACTGGAACCTGTGGAGTTTCAGGGGCAGACTGTGAAACATATTTTGATACCAGACACTCTGGTGTGTGTGTGTGTGTGTGTGTGTGTGTGTGTGTGTGTGTGTGTGTGTGTGTGTGTGTGTGTGTGTGTAGACAGTATTTAAAGTTTGTAGTAAAAACAGAGGACGTCTGTGTTGTGTTGTGCGTTCCTGCAGCTCAGGATTCAGTCCTGTCCTGCTGTAGTCAAGGTAACCTGTGCAGAATGGCTTCCTGTTTGGGAAACCCCTCAGTGTGGGTTGGTTGTGGTGTTGCTTCTGTATCAAGGACTATTTAACCTCAGCATGGTGTCAACTGCATCCTTCAGTCTCCACCACTTCAGTCCAAATTGAACCTTCTCCAAATCACCTCGACGTTTTCTGTAAATGTTAGAGGTGGTGGCGACGTGGAGATGCCAGGGCCGGTGCTTCACCCTGTCGTAGCTGTAGTCTGTCGGTGTTGTCGTTGGTGTCAAGTGGCCATGGGTGTCAGGTCTGAATGAGAGGTAGATCACTAACAGTGTCCGGGTATCTCTCCTTTTGCTGCCCCCCCCCTGCTGGTGACCCCTCCAGACGTGGCGGTTTTCAAGGAGAGGCTGAGAATCCTCACGGTAGGAGGTACGAGCAACCACGACGACGCTGGTGTGTCACCGCGCAGTGCTGCCAAGCCAGTAGTTCCTCTTCCGTAGACTGTCTTCACTGCTGCAGTGTGCAGGTCACACCTACAGGAAGTCCAGGAAGTGAGAAACAGATGCTGCTGGATCTGCCTCTGACGTCCTGAGCTCCTGTCGAGGTCTCTGCACCGGAGGGAGGAGACGGAGATGTTTCACTCGGTTCAGTGTCTTTCCTTTAGTTCAGACTGTTCCAGGAGTTAAAGAATGGTCGCCGCTGCTCAACATGTGTCTCAATAATAGAAGTAACGATAATATAAACATGAAAACTAAGAGCAGAGTTTAGTGTCTGTACACACATTATTTTGGCATGTGACTTAAAATGTTAGACACTTCTTTTACTGGAATATTTTCCGGGTGTCTTTTAGTTTTCTGCATCAGGTTCAGGCTGTCACAGCGGGTGCTTCTGATTCGTCTCCACACGTCCCTCACCTGTGTTGTCTCCTCCTTTCTCAGAGATGCAAGGAAAAGACTTTCTCCCTGATACATGGGAAATGATTTGCAGCTTGAAATGTAACTGAGGCAAATCTATTTGTATAATCACATTATCACACACAGAGGTCACGCAGTGACAAAAATAGAAGTAAAAAGCAGAATAAAAACAAAGATTATGAAATAGATAGATAATATCTCATTAAAGTGCAAGATTAAAAGATAAAATGGCAGAGGAGAACAGAGAAGTTTGTAGCTTCTCTTTTAACAGTTCAGGCAGATTTGATCTGATCCATTGGGAGCTGGTTCCAGCAGGGGGCAGCATAACGGCTGAAACTCCCTGTTAGGAACGAGGATTCAGGTCGGAAGAAATCACACATGGACAAATCCTGATGAATTATGGGACAGAAAATGTTCCTTTGTTAATCAGGAGAACAGTAAACACAGATGAAGGAAACAAATCCACTTTAAAGGTTGGGAGTAAAATGACACGTTTATGGGTTCTGCAGCAGATCAGCTTCACCTGTGGAGCAAGAGGAGTTGATATGAGGCAAATTAGAAGCACCCGCCGAGTGTGTTTACACATCGTGTCCTTGATTCAGAAATCTGGAAATGTACTTGAGTTCTCAGAGAGAAAGTGGGATGCTGTGGCCTCTAAACAGCTGGTCCTGCTCATCGTGTTCACAGACACATGGTGGTGATGCAGTGAAATAAAAACAACAGCTGCCCAGTGTTTCCCCTCTGACTGTTCTTTCACCCGGTGGGGACAGTGTGTTGGTTTGGTGATGAAGCTCAGACACTGAACTACAGTGAAATATCTCTTCAGACCTCAGTACACAGGAGCCAGACAGATATATGTCCTCCATGCTGTTGGCAGCAGCTGTTGAATCACAGACTGCTGCCTCTCACCTCCTCTGAATGTCTCCTGTGGGCTCTGGTCTGTGCAGTCAGCTGTTAGCCTGTAGCTGCTAGTAGCACGTCGCTTTGTCCAGTAAACAGTAGAGCAGTTAGTAGATGAGATGAGAAACTTCACATGGAGCCGACAAGGTGGCATCAGAAGATCATTTTTATCTGTGGCCAAAAAAAGATTAAAAACTAAAGTTTAGGCATTAAAAAAAAAAGAAAATCATGGTTTCTACTTCAGGCATTAAAGTACTGTTAAAGTATTTATTAACGGCCAGAAAATACCTTTGTATGACATGACTGAAATGTTCAGCTCTTTCTTGTCCTCTGAACTGCAGGTTGTCACGTCACAGTTCCTGATGTTGCTGTCAGTGAGAGGAAACAGAGCGGTAGCATCCAGCCAGTATCAATAACTATTGTGTTATTGATCGAGGTGATATCTGCTGATAAAGGTGTAAAATGTAAAAGAGACAGGTGTTAAAGGTGTTACATGAGACGGCTCTAGGTCAGGTGAAGGTTCTGGATCAGAGTAAAAATACACTCTTCACTAACACTGTACATTAGTCAGTCAGATAGATGCGAGTGGAGGATGAGCAGGTGAATCAGTGATGTCATAGATCATGTGATGACCTGTAGACTGCTGTGGCCATGGATTTAAAAAGAACCTTCGTCATGTCACCTGCTGGTCTCTCCGTGTTTCTCCTCCGACACTGGCTGAACGTCTCCTGTTGGTATCTGAGTGATGAAGTGTCCTTTACCCGGTAACACTGTTCACCTGTAGTGTAAAGGCCTGGTGGTAAATTTAAATCTTTTCCAAATGATCCGGCTTCATCTTTCAGCCATATTTTAATGTATAAATAAAATAAATAGAAAATGAAAAATGTTCATCACTCAGAGAACAAGTCCAGCCTTTGTGTTTAGCTTTAGTCTTTAGTCTGTTAGTTTGAAGCTCTCTCTCTCTCTCTCTCTCTCTCTCTCTCTCTCTCTCTCTCTCTCTCTCTCTCTCTCTCTCTCTCTCTCTCTCTCTCTGTCTCTCTCTCTCTGTCTCTCTCTCTGTCTCTCTCTCTCTGTCTCTCTATCTCTCTCTCTCTGTCTCTCTGTCTGTGTCTGTCTCTGTCTCTCTATCTGTCTCTCTCTGTCTCTCTCTCTCTGTCTCTCTCTCTCTCTCTCTCTCTCTCTCTCTCTCTCTCTCTCTCTCTCTCTCTCTCTCTCTGTCTCTCTCTCTCTTTCTCTCTCTCTCTCTCTTCCTCTGTTTTCTGCTTTGCTCCCATGTTCTGGGTTTCCACAGTTTTAGTCTTTACCTGCCTCAGCGTGCAGTGAGGTGAAGACAGGAAGAAGCAGCAGCACTAACAAACAGCAGCAGTCTAACCAGCTTTTCTCTCATCTGGCAATCAACTGCTGGTTTTAGAGCCTAGCACTGTGGCAGCATCCAGACACCTGACTGACACCCCACTGACACCAGACTGACACCAGACTGACACCAGACTGACACCTGACTGACACCAGACAGACACCTGACTGACACCTGACTGACACCTGACTGACACCTGACAGACACCTGACTGACACCTGACTGACACCAGACAGACACCTGACTGACACCTGACTGACACCTGACTGACACCTGACTGACACCTGACTGACACCTGACTGACACCTGACTGACACCTGACTGACACCTGACTGACACCTGACTGACACCTGACTGACACCTGACTGACACCTGACTGACACCTGACTGACACCTGACTGACACCTGACTGACACCTGACTGACACCTGACTGACACCTGACTGACACCTGACTGACACCTGACTGACACCTGACTGACACCTGACTGACACCTGACTGACACCTGACTGACACCTGACTGACACCTGACTGACACCTGACTGACACCTGACTGACACCTGACTGACACCTGACTGACACCTGACTGACACCTGACTGACACCAGACAGACACCTGACTGACACCCGACTGACACCCGACAGACACCCGACTGACACCCGACTGACACCCGACAGACACCGGACTGACACCGGACTGACACCCGACAGACACCCGACAGACACCCGACTGACACCTGACTGACACCCGACTGACACCAGACAGACACCAGACAGACACCTGACAGACACCGGACAGACACCGGACAGACACTGGACAGACACCAGACAGACTCCTGACTGAAATCTGACTGACACCTGACTGACACCAGACCGAGACCTGACTGACACCAGACAGACACCCGACCGAGACCTGACAGACACCAGACAGACACCAGACTGACACCCGACTGACACCCGACTGACACCCGACTGACACCCGACTGACACCCGACTGACACCCGACTGACACCCGACTGACACCCGACTGACACCCGACTGACACCAGACAGACACCAGACAGACACCTGACAGACACCGGACAGACACCAGACAGACTCCTGACTGAAATCTGACTGACACCTGACTGACACCAGACCGAGACCTGACTGACACCAGACAGACACCAGACAGACACTTATTGTTGTGTTCAATGGAAACAAACTGTTCAGGAAACAGGATTCATATCTGAAAACAGCTTCACCAGCACCAGCTTCTAACTTTGAAACTGCTTTTTAAACAATAAACTCACTGAGCACTTTATTAGGAACAACTGTACACCTGTGGATTCATGCAGTTATCCAATCGGCCAATCAGGAAGTGGGTAACTTCATATCAACGAACTAAAGTGTCAGAAACCTGGATATTAAATGAGAGTCTCAGAGGAACATTTCAACATGAGGTGGATGACATGAACTGAGGAAGTACCCAGCGTTAGTGAGGTGTTCCTAATAAAATGCTCACTGACTGTTTGTGTTACAGAAAGTGTCTCTGAATCGAACTGCTTCAGTAAATCAGCGGATAATCCTCTGCAGCGTGAGCGCCTCCATGAGGCTGTAACATTCAGTCCCTCTGTTGTCAGATCTTCACTGCTGCTTTGTTCTGAAGGTGGTCGTGTTGAGAGGCAGCAGTGAGTCCGTCCCCGTGTCCTCGTGTCCCCTCGCCATGTGACCTGTGTTACATAAAGTGTTGTGACTGTGTGTTTCAGAGTCAGACTGCCACTCTCAGTTTAGTGTGGGCTGCAGACGGAGCGGTAAACATCACAGACCTGTTTGTGCCTGAGGAGCTGTTTGTTGCTGTGACGCCTTTTATTCCTCCTCTCCTCCCTCACCACCTCCCCTCTGACGGGAGGAGGAGGAGGAGGAGGAGGAGGACGGTGACTGAGAAGCAGTGATCACTGTCTAATGTCCCGCTCTGCTTTTTGATTGGCTGCTTCTGTCGCTCGTGTGTTTCTGCTGTGGATGCAGCTCGTCACAGACATTTTATATAACCTGCTTCCTGATTGGCTGAATCAGCTGCGGGTATGCCAGGCTCGGCCTCTGATTGGCAGTTTTGAGTGGAAGGAATCTTTGAGGTGGTTGTGTTGTTGGATCTTAGGACAGGAAGTTAAAGTCGTGTTTCCCCCAGCGTCACGTTTACGACACAAACACACACACACAACACATCCTTCTACTCTCTCTCTCATCACTCCTCTCTCCTCCGTAACATCTCCTCTAACTCTCCC